GAGTCTCCACCACTCCCTGAACTCCCTGTCTGCTGAGTGTTCCTCTGTTAGTTGGCAAGGATTAGAGCTGGGGCAGAAATGTCCAGGTGTCATGAACCCCCTCCCCTGTACATATGCCACAGCAGTGGGCAGGCAGCAGGTCAGGAGGACTTGGTACATGGCTTGCCATGTCACCCCCACATGGAAATAGCAGAAGCACTAGCCAGAAGCTTTGACTTAAGAGAGGTGTGAATATGGGAATGGGAGCCAGTAGAGCGGTGAGGGGGAAAAGGGAAGGGGAGGATGGTAGGAATTTAGCTCTGAAATATGCTACCCTCATTGCCAGCTGTGGCTATTCAGGACACCCCCCAGCCTCCCACCACATCCCCATCTCTAACTATTCACAAAACTCAACACAGCGTGTTTTCATCAGAAGTTTGAGGTCCCAGTGCCTCAAACTGGGATAAAAAGAGACACCTCAATTATATAAAAGAGACACCTCAATTATATAAAGCTCCTGGTATGATGCTCAGGACACATAATATATGCTTAATAAATTATATTTGCTATTAGTATCCTTTAATAACCAAATAAACTTAAAAACTGAAATTGGAACTCAACAGAGTTAAAACCTGAATTTCTGATTCTTATTACACAGGCAGTACAACACCAGGGGAGGGTTCAGGGCACACCTGTACTGAGCACCAGAAGGGAGTGTCTGTGCCTTTAGTGTGTCTTCACCACTGAAACCCGTGGCCTCTGAGAAAGGCATGGAAGGGAGAGGAAGAAAAACGAAACAAGACAGGGAGGTGGAAGGCAAGGGAGAGATGCTGGTCATCAGCAGCCAGCTTGTTCCCAAAGAATGTTGTTGCAAATGCCATCCCATCTGACACTCTCTTCCAGAAGAGGAAAGCAAGGCTTAGACGAGGGTCATCTCTTGTCTATGGTCACACCCCAACTTAGTGGCAGACCCGAGACTACACAATGCCCTCAAGGTGCCTCCATCTTGGCACCTACTCTTTCCAAGAGGCTAGAGATTTATTCCCCTTTATAGAAAAAGAAAAAAACAGCCATTGCTTCTCAGCTTTCATAGAATAAAAATAAGTGAGTTTTATCCATCCCCAGGGTTGCAAAAGTCTAGACTTCTCTTTTGCAAGCATCCAGTTTGGCTCCCGGGGATGTTGCTTACAAGCAGTGAAGGCAGTTGTCTCCCTGGGGGGCATCTGGAAGAGGCAGAGGGCAGACAAGGGTGAAGCCAAAATCCCTAGGCATAGACGGAGAGAAGCTGTCCAAGCAGGGCTAGGACTGAGGGTACATGTCTACGTGGGGCCTGTGTCCTCTCCTTGCTCCTCTTCCCAATGGCAAGTCAGCCAGAGGAAAGGCATCAACAGAGATCTCCCTGAAATGTTCAGACACAAGCTCAGTGACACACAATTTGGTGGGTATGAGGAAAGGGGGCAGTTAAAATCACTCCATTTCCTAGAAAGCTCAAGACTGCCAGACCCCTTAATTCTTGCAGAGTAGTCTGGGCCTGCAGGGAGTGCTGGCCTAGCGCTGGTCACTTTACCCAGCACTGTCAAAGGCACTTCCTCATCTCCAAGTGGGTGAGATGTACTCTGCTCAGCACCTCCAAAGTCACTACCCAGCACCATCTGTGATTAAAAATAGCCAAGAAAACATAGAAACTAGAAAGGCAATAAGGCCCAGAAGTCAGATCAGATGCCACCTCCCATGGCCCTGAGGACAAGGGCAGCTTGGAAAGGGGAAACCACAAATAACCCCGTCTCCTTCAGGACAATCCATCTCTCTCATTCCCTCTCCCCTCTCCCCCACCTCTCTTTTTTTTCTCAAAAGGCTGCAGAGACTCCAACAAGCCACTCTCTTACCCATCCTCCTGTGCAAGCCTAGGTTTTAAGGACAACAAAATGGCCAAATGAGGCAGCTGAGAGACAGAAAAACAGGGAGTGATTTCAACTTTGATAAACATGGGAGCAAAGAAAGACCCACCTTGTTGAGAGGAAAAGAAAAGGAATTTCCTGCAATAAGAGCCCAGAGGCAATGTGGAAGAAATAGTAGAAGAGCTCTCTGAAAAAGCCAATTGCCTAATAGACAATGTTAATCATAGCTCAAAGCATGGAGCTCCTGGATTCCACCCAACTGATCAACTGAGTTTCTGACCTTCCTGGGTAACCTCAGATCACTTCCTCATCTCACTCACTGACCCCGACACAGCTCAGTTTCTGCCACTGCCAGAATATAGCACAGCACACACACACATCCCAGTGCTGAGAGTCACCAAAGATGAGACATTAGATGCCACTTGGCCATGCTTGTTTATTTGCCTACTCCCAAGACTTGAAAGACTATCCTGTCCACATGAAGGCCTGAGGAAAGATTCTGCTTTGCCCAGGAGAAGAGAGAAAAGAGCTATTCAGTTAATTCTTAATACATTTCCTCTTGCCCAACTAATAAGTCAATTCCTCAGAGACAAGGATCAGCCTTACATTTTTCTTGCATTCCCCAGCCCCCACACTAAGGCCTACCTACACCAAGTTCACTCTTAAGTATTCAGTGAACAAATGTCAGACTCACCCACCAATCCTCTCCTTCCTCTAGCACTGTGAGGCCACGAGAGAAGGGCCTACCTCGCCATGGTGGGTGCAGTAGGTCTCAGGCTTGGTCAGTCCACAGGTCGATGAAGCACGGAGAAATTGGGTCCTCCCAATGAGCAGGTCCCCAGCAGGTGGATAGCAGGCCCCACGAGAGCAGGCTTGCTGGGCACACAGGAGGCCAGGCAGGGCTGAAATCACAGAGATGTGCTGTGGGGCAGCCCCAAGAGAGGAGGGTCCAGCTGGCCACCCCAGTGTCCCTCAGGGGAGCCAATGTCAACAAGACTAGACCCTTGCCTTCACTCAAACTACTGCTCACTGCTGGTGGTAATGATTACAGTCCTGAGGCTGTTAAGAGTTAAAAAGCTTATTTCACATTTTAGAACCCCAAACTTAAAAATGAAAAGAGAAACACTGGCAATCTAAAACCCACAAATGGCCATGAAATGTGGCATCTATCTGTGGCTTTTAGAATCGAACTAGAGATACACACTCAGCTGCCTGCATAGGGTTGCAGCTCATGCCTGCAGCATGGCCTCTGGAAGCAGCCCAGAGGAGGGCTGACTACTGAGCCACTTGGGAAACATTGAGAGAGGCCTGCACTCTTTCCATTGCAACCAAAGTGGACCCAGCCACACTTTGGGAGTGCCCAGTGTCAATCCACTGGAACATCAAGAACTCAAGCTACACTGGCTGTGGAACCAGTATGCGAACAAAAGGATGGGAAACAAATTCTGTAGAGCATTCAGGAAACCACAAACAACCCTCAGGTAAAAACAAGAAGACACTTGAGGCCAGGCGCAATGACTCATGCCCGTAATACTACACTCTGGGAGGCCAAGGTGGGAGGATAACATGAGGTCAAGAGTTCAAGACCACCCCGACCAAGAATAAGATCCCATCTCTATTAAAAATTTAAAAATCAGCAGGGGTTTGTAGTGGGTGCCTGTAGTCCCAGCTACTCAGGAGGCTGAGGCTTAAGCCCAGGAGTTTGAGGTTGCTGTGAGCTAGAGTGCCATGGCACTCTAGTCTGGGCAACAGAGTAAGACTCTATCTCAAAATAAAAACAAATAAATAAATAAAAAGACACCTAAGAGCCTTTCAAGAGAGTCAAAGAATCTCTTCCCCAAAGGCCCAAAGAAGTAGAGAAATCTCACAGGTGTCCCCAGTAGATGAGTGTTCCAAACCCAAGACAAGTGGAGTTCACACTTCAGTAAACTCTTTTCCCCATGGCTGTCACTTCCCTGGTGCCTAACAAGGCCTAGAAGGATGGGGAGGGATACTTACTGAAACACAGGAGAAGGAGTGGTCTCATCTTTAGCCAAGGGGGTGATCCCCAGAGAGGACCTCACCTGGGACAGAGAAAAGCACCTGAGTACAACAATGCAAATCCCTAGAGCACACACGCCCCCTTTTTTTTCTGTTTCTTGAGTTTTTTTCAGAAGTCTTTACCTAAGATCTTGACCTAGGACACTTCTGGGCCACAGACATATTTATAGCAGAAAGCTACAAGGGCTCCAGACCCCTGTACCAGCTGGTGTGTGACTCACAAGGTACCCTGGGAAAATCCCATTCCTTCCCAGACTTCAGCTTCCTCCTCTGGAATGGAATGGATGGGAAAGAGGACCAACCGCACTTGGCCACCACATGGGGAGGAAGAAAGGGCTGGGCCCTTTGCAGAAGAAGTAGGGAAGTCCAAGTCCTATTCCTGCCCCAAGAGAGAAGACTGGCTTTTCTCATGGCCTGAAAGCAGCATCAACCCAGCCACAAGCCCAGAGGTAAATGGGCGAGCCATCTCCCACTATTGACAAGGTCTCCAGTACTACCCGGGGCCTCCAGTGGCTATGGGGCCCAGAACTCTGGGCTGAGCAGGTAGCTGGGATGCAACAGGGACAGAAGTATGCCTCAAAATCTTTAATAAGTGAATGAAGACTTTATCTGAACAGGAAACACCCCCAAATCTCTCCAGTGATGGGCTGGGGTTCAGTGAGAGGGGATGGGGCTGGGAGGCTGCAAAGCAGGATTTCTGAAGGAAGTTCAAAAGCCACTGTGAGTGTCCAAGAGAGAGGACTGCTTGTCAAGCACACCCCATCCTACTTGTGCAGTGTCCCCCTCTGCCTTGGACTGGCTGCTCACTCTGCCCCAATGACAACCACAAACTCCTTTGTCTAGGATGGAGCGCTAGGGACTCGGCAAGGCAGGGTTCGAGGGGACCTGGGGGCATTCCTGGTATCTTTAAAGTATACGGCCTAATGCTTCAAAATCATTCCTCCTATGGCCTCCCAGAAGAGTCAGGAGCACAGGGAAGGAACATATGGCTTGAGGGCCCACAGCTAAGGACGGCCTAAGAGAGAGACTCATCTTCTGATTTTCATCCAATGTTCTTTCTGCTCTCCCACCCCCAGCTAGAAATCCCCCCAGAACGAGGCATTCTGAGCTGGGCCAGCCTACCCTTTCCATTTCTCTTTTGTGCTCAACCCCAGAGCTGAACCTGCTTTCTTCTTAGTCACTGAGGCGTTTATCAGATGTAAAACAGCAATCAAAACAGTAGCAGACATTTTATCCTAGGCTTTGCAGGTGAGCTCACTAAGGTGAGTTCCCAGGAAGAAGAATGAATCAGGCCCCAGGCACCCAGAGGTACTGCCCTTCTCCTATCCAGTCTCCATCAGGCAGGTGAAGGCAGGTAACGTACCTCGCTCTGTGCCGCTGCTGTCCTTTCTCCAGATCACCTGAGAGCTCCCCTTGAATGTGGGGGTCTTCTCTTCTGGCTCCAGCTTTTAAACAACAGCCTCACCTCTGGAGACTCCCTAGCTGGGCGTAGCCCCACTTCAGGGCGGGCCTCAGGAATCTGGCAGCCGTCACGCCCATCTCGTCACTGCACCCCCACCCCCCTGGACGGGACTGGGCAAGTGGGTCCGTACCAGAGGCCTCACAGCAAGCTCTGCAGTGCCCTCCTCCCTGGAGGTGCCTTGGGGGCACCTCACATGGAGGCACCAGGCAAAGTTAGTGATTGTCAGAGATCAGAATTCCTAGGGGAGGGAAAGGCCTTCACATCTGTGCCAGGCACTGTACTTGGCACTTCCCCAAGGCCAGTTGAGGCCAGCTTCCTCTATATCCTAGACCACCCTAGATAGACGACTAAGCAGAGGATGCAAAGATCAGGGCTTGTATATAAAGCATCAAAGCCCCAGATGTGTCACTGGGTGAAAAGTTCCAAATATCCAGGAAGGACCCCAGAAAGCACCAACCCCCTCCCCAGGGAAAAAAGTAAGTGGAAAATCCCGGCTTCTTGAGGACTTTGGAGAATCCTTAAAAGGAAAGGTTTGTCAGGAAGGGATCAAAACTCAACTCATCCAGGGAAAGTGTAAGAGGAATGAACAGAGTGACTTGAAATGCCTCCCCTCCAGCTCCTCTGCAGGGTTGGCAGGGAGCCCTAGGACAGGTAACTACCTGTGAGTCACTGCCCCCACTTGCAAGAAGGGTTGGTCTCCTAGCCCCTCCCTCCCTGGGCAAGAATGCCCGCCTGGAGGGCCAGAAATCAGACCTGGCCACAAGTGGTGGGAGGACAGGCTGAAGCAGAGCTGGACTAACAGAGTCAAAGCAGACTTCCCCTGGCTGCCTGCCAGGCCTGAGAACACAGCTTCCATTGTGGGCTCCTGGGCGGGCTCCTTATTGGACTCCTGGGCCTAGAGCCACTGTGAATGGAAGTAACAGGTCCAGATTGAGGGGCTGGTCTCACAGAGCACACTCCCCCCAGGTTGGGGTCAGAGAACTTTTAGGGAGATCTGGAAGGTCACCCAGTCCATATCTTGGCCCTGGAAAGCCTGCCCTGGCATCATTTTTGGAATGCTATTGCCTCAAAGCTGCAATTTAAAGGAGACTCTTAACTACCTATTCCAGCCTTCACTGTCTCCTAAACAGAAAGTTCTCTACCACTGGAGGTAAGGAGGGTTATGCCAAGAAATTAGTTTGAAAACCCTTAAGGGAAAAATACAGAATTTTGTGGATCAAACTGGGCATTTCGAGCCCTCAGGTTCTTATTTAGCATAAGTTCAGGTGGGCCGGGGAAAATCGCAGAACTGGCAAATAGGTAATTAGTTGTTAGATGCATTGTTGATACTCTAATAAATGTTAGTGTCTTGGCCCCACAAATATTCCAGTGAAATTTAGCTTAACTTGGTGAGTCAGTCAGGTTCAGTACAGCCAGCATCCTCTTAACACAAGAAGACCCCCATGTAGTCCCCTGCAGAGAAGGGTCGCCCCTGATACCCCTGCATTTTGAGTTCCCCTGCATGGTGAGCTCTCCCCTTCTCCAACTCCCTGAACTCAAAGCTTTCAGGAAACTCTCATCCTCTGCCCATCACCAGAGGCTGACAAAGAACTCATTAATAATTAACTCAGCAGAAGAGAGCAGGTGTTGCAATCCCAGATCCGGAAAGGAGCCAAGGTAGGGAGGGCATGCGGTGGGCCTCACCATGAGTGGCTGGGGCCCTTTAAATCTCCTTACTCCTCCCTTTTTCTGAGGCTAAGAGGACCCAGGTAAATAAGCAATTGGTGTCTCAGACTCCACAGGCTGGGGCAGGTCCTGAAGTGGTTTGGCGTTGCAGGAGGGAAATGCTAATTGCTGTGCTGGGGTGGGCTTGCCCACTCACACTCCCAGCAGAGTCCAGGAAGTTGTTTCTGCAGACGCCCAAGGGTGGTCCAACCTGGTTTACTCTTCAAGGATGTTGATCATTTCCCAGTGGGGATCCAGTCCCCCCACCCCCATAACTCCAGGGACCCTAGAGCCTGCGATTTGGGCAGGGTCTGGCTAAGGCTAAAGAGGAGGTGGGAATATGGTTGGAAACCCTCAGCCTCCCCTCTACACACCCCTTTTCCTCTCTCCTTGCCTCCCATCCTCCTGAGACAGAGCACTCATGTGTCTTCCCCAGAGTCTCGGCTGATCAGAATTTGTGCTCAGGATGTGGCTAGTAAGATCATCTTTGACCCGGTTTCTCCTGCACCCACACCAATCTATCAGCAAATTCTGTTAGCTCCCCCTTCCAAAAGCAACAAGAATCCACTTCTGCCTTCCTGGCCTGAGCCTCCCTTCCCGGGATATCTGCAACAGCCTCCTCACTTGTGTGCATACAAGTCCCAACAGCAGATCTCTGTGCCCCCTGCTCAGAACCCAGCACATCACCCTCATCCCACCCAGGGCCAAGCCAAAGGAGGCCCCAGAAGGTCAGAAGCACCCCATATTGTACCTCTCGGCCTCCATCACTAACACCTCCCTGCCTTCCTCTGCCTCCAGATTGCCAGCCCTGCTCCTGTCTCAGGACTTTTGCTCCAGCTGCCTCTGTGGCCTGCAATGCTCTTCCCCTTGGACATCTGCAAAGCTCTCTGAATTTTTATTTTTAAGTCTTTTTCAGACCCTAACTTCTCAAGGAGGCCTGCTCTGCCAACTTCCCAGTCCCGTCCCTCCACGCTCCCCCCAGCACTCCCAAACCACCTCCCCTACATTTGGTTGAGTTATATTTATGTGTTTATCTGTTGGGGGGGAGAAGCCACAATTACCACTTTCTAACCAAGTGTATAATTTCCCTACTTACCATGTTTATTTTCTGTGTCCCCCACCACGAGAATATAACGTCCAGAAAGGCAGAGATCTCTGTCTATTTTGTTCACTATTCTTTTCCAAGTGACTGGCACATAGTAGATGCTTGATATTTGTGGAATGAACGGATTCACACTGAAGTGTAAATAATTAATGTAGTCCAATGAGTTCCTCATGCCTTTTGTGTGTAGCTGCAGTCTCAGAGGGGACAGCCCAGGCTTTTGGCTACCAGAATGAATTATCAACAGTGGGAATTCATCCATCCGCCAGCTGCAGTGCAGAGGTCTGTTTTGAGGTGCCTGCCCCCAGATCACAGAAATGTCATGATATAGGCCGTGTACTTCTTTCCCTGCTTACCAGCCGTCCCTGGCTATATCTCTGACAGGGTGTGGCGGTGGCACCAGAAGCTACTGTCCCCATTATCCATCTGTCAGGCTCAAACTCTCCAACGTGTTAGGGGAGATCAGCCAAGATCTGATCAATGAGAGATCAAGGGAAGGGAGCAAAGCAAGGAGGAAAAGAGGAAGAAAGGGGGAGAAGCGGCTGGAGAGGATAAGAGAGCCTAGCCCAGACTGTGAATCAAGTGTCAGAGGAAGGGGCACCAGGTGATGACAGCCCAGCCAGAGACAGTGAGTCACGGCTGAGTCCTTGTCTGTGAGACAGGGTGGATTCTAGGAATGGCCCTGAGGATTTGCCATGTTACTAAAGCTGGCGTGGCCCTGCACTCTAGCACCGCTGCTCAGCCTTCCAGACGATTGGTCGCTCTCCTGTGTGCCTCCCCAGCAACCAGAGAGAGGGGGGCCTGGTGTGATAGCACAGAGAGGAGCCCAGCCTCAGGAAGGGGCAGGCTGTCAGCAGGACACAGCTGCTGCCATGGGTGACTCTGCTCCACACCCTTTCCTCTCTCCCCATGTGGACAACTGCGCCCATTAGCCTGAGCCTGAGGGCTGGGAGAGATTGGGCAGTCAGCCAAAAATAACATTTATAGCACACTCGCACTGTTCTAAGCCCTTTGCATGTAACTGACTCAAAACCCACCACATCTCTGCGGAGATGAGAGGAGGCATGATGATCACCAGAGGAAGGGGAAGCCCTGCCCTCAAGTCAGGCTCCTGGGCCCCCTTAGAGGCTGCAGATCCTTCTGCTCCGTCTCCTGAGGCACATCCCCAAACGGCCCACCCCTCTTGAGCGGCATGGCCCAGTGCAGCCTGCAGTAGGCTGGGCCCTGGCTGGCTGGCTGGCTTCCTCTTTCCTGCCCCAGCCAGAAGGGCCAGCCCCTCTATCCCCTCCCAGCCCCAGCAGAAGGGCCAGCCCATCACCACACCCTCCTCCAGCCCAACCACTCTTCCTCTATCCATTATTCTACTCAGCCATTGACCTCTGCAAATTAGGTTCTCTGGACCGAAGTCCAGACTCTGTGACCTTTGGCCAAGATTTACCACGTGGAGCTGGCCGTGGGGCCATGGCCCAGCCTCCTCAGGAGAGACATCCATACATGTGTCTGAAGAGGCAACATGTAGGTAGGCACGTGGCAGGTCCTGGCAGGTGGTAAGCTTCTGGAAAAGAAGACGGAGAAATAGCTGAGAGTCAGATGGGGCACTTACAACCTAACGTCT